GGTGCAGAGACCCTGTCAGTGCGAGTGGTGGAAGCCTCCGCGCGCGGGCGCGCTCAGGTGGAGACGGTTGAGCACCAGGGGCGCTGGGCTGGCGGCCTCAGCTGGGTCGCGACCAAGCATGTGGGGAGCGCGCGGACGCGTCCCGGTGCCCCCCGCCTTCCCTGCCCGTCTTTCTGAGGGGGTATTGTTACCCTTCCTAGCGGAGGGATCGGGAGGATGGGAGGCGGGTTCTGCGCAGGCGTCCCCGTGTCCTGACGCCAGGCTGTCTGTCTGCGGGATTGGGCGGAGGCTCTTGCCCCCTCGGATCTGCGGGCGGAGAGGTTGGTTACCGGGTTGGGGCGGGAGAGGTCTCCGGACCGACAGCCTCGGACCCGCTGCCTGGGCGCATCCTGGGCGTATCCTGGGCCTCCTTGAGCGACAGTGTTTCATTTCGCCACCGCCAGGCCAGCGCGGTCTGGAGCCGGGACCTGGCGCTGGCCCGGAGGGTGGAGCCAGTGTTGGGGAATGGCCCACGCTGTTCCCGGAGGACTCCAGTGCGTGTGGGCATTCCTTGGATGCCCGCTGCGTCCAGGCTTGGTGAGAACGGCCGTTCCACCTCCTCCCCTGGCAGATTCGCACGTAAATACATCAGACGGGGAATGAAGGGGGCGTTGAAGAGCAGGGTTTTTTCCTTCCAAAAAAGGTCATTTGTTAGTAAGTCAGTCTGCCTTCTGTCATAGTGGACGGTACTGTAGAAACGAACTTCTGAAAGGAACACAGGTTCTAGTTAGAAAGAAAATTCCTAGGTAAAGGCAAAGAAAAGTCTTGATTACTAAGTAATATGCTCAAGTTCTGGCCAATTTGAATGAATAGAGAAGGAAGAAATCCTTCGCATTCAAGAATTAAACAGGAATCTTTCCAAAGTATATTTACAATTGTGAGTAACGCGGAACAGAGGTTTTTTTTTCTGTATTATTTATTAATTAGAAGCCCGGTGCATGAGTTGGCGCCCGGGTGGGGCCCCTAGGCCTGGCCCCTTGGGGCATCTTGCCCAGTCCTGAGGGGGGCGAAGGGGGAGCGCACTGACCACCAGGGGGCAGCCCCTGTCTTGAGCGTCTTCCCCCTGGTGGTCAGTGCACATCATAGCTTCCAGCTGGTTGTCCCTTCCTCAGGTCTTAATGGTGGCTTAGGCTTTTATATATATAGATTATTTTATTATTTTTCCATACTAACATCTATAAACCTACATTTGCCCCAAACTACTTTTCAGCTGTAGTAAATAGATGTTACATACATTGGGATCTTCCTTTAGAGGTCGAAGCGAATGCTGTGCCTTCCTCATCATTGATGATTTGTTATCTTTTGGATGGGCTTTTCTGCCTTAGATAATTTTTAAAAAGATGGCCTGGGTGCTTGTTTTCTGGAGAGCTTGCTTTTCGTGTGCTGAAATCTTAGGATCCCCGTGGTGAGGGTGGTTGGCCATAAGCTGAAATTGTAGGAGTAGGGGCAAGAGATCAGATGGGGAGGGAAGAAAAATCATTTCAGAGAAAAGTCCCTAGCCCAAGCGAAGGCCTCCCCTTAACCCCCTTCTGGAAATCCCAGCAGAACTTGGGAAGACTGGCCTGGCCCCTGCTGCCGGCTTGATGAGCTGCCAGGTAATACTAATTGGTTGGAGACTTGTTCTGTGCCCTTGGATTTTACATAATAAGTGAGCCAGGACTAATAAAAAGTCCTGAAATCAACTTGTTTTCTGATCTGCCTTTTTTCTCCTACAAGTTGTGTCAAAACATACTGTCGTTAGCTGGAGGTACTGGCAGGCTGTGTTCTGGTTCATTGAGGTGCCTCTAGAAAAATTCTGAAAGTGGTAAAATTTGAAAGGAAAACATCTAATGGAGTGTTTTCCTAAATTTATGGGTCAGTGCTCTCAAAAGCTTTGTTGCAAGACTATCATGAGAAGTTGAAGTACTTTTTAAAAAATCACTTGGATACAAAATGTGTGACAATGTTTTAGTATTTAAGTATTTAGCTTGAATTTTATTGAGTTCTTTAGTGTGGGTAGGATTTAATATCGGTGTACAGTCAGATACAGCAAAGCTTGCTGTAGTGCAGAATCTTCAATCTGCCTCAACTTCTTGGAAGGGAAGAGGAAAAACCCAAGGTAGTGATTTGATGTTAGTTGTCAACTTAAAAAAAAATAAATTTATTATAAACAAATACTTCTGTCAATTTTAAGCGTATGAATTTTTACTGTACTTAACATTTCTCAAATATAGATGTTGTCTAGTAGAGCCGGTTTTTGTTAGTGTAACAGGTGGGATGGAATGTAACACTAACTGCAACTTTTGTCTATGCAGTGAACTTCTCATGCTAAAAGACCAGCTGTTTCTGAGTGAACTATTGCTTTTTACAGTTGTTTTCATCATTTTCATCACTGAATAGTGGCTTTTAATCTCAAAACTAATTTGGGGGCGGGGGGGAAATGAGATGACTTTTGATTAATTACACATAATTTTGCTAAAGACTTTGATTTATCTTTCTGAAAGTTCAAACAGATTAGGAATTTGTATTGGAGCACTAACTTTATTGTAATTATAACCAATTAATTTTCCAAATTTGTACTCTCAAGTAAGTTTGTTATTGAAGGAATCCTAATGGAAGGGGTACTTTTTTCTTATATAAATGGAAGTTAACAAAGTGTTTTGTTTCTTTTACTAACTTAAAGGATGTTTGAGTGGAGTCTGCTTTTAGAAATTAGATTCTGTATTCTGTTACTTTGTGTACTTGATAACAAGTTTACAAATGCTTTATTTCCAAGTTCTTAAATTTAATATGATTAGGGTGAATTGCTCCCCCTTTTCTTCTGAACATGATATTGTTAACTGGTATAATTGATTTTTCACTAAATCTTAATTAGTTGATTATAATTTAAAATCTGCTCAACAGTCTTCCTCTAAAAATGCGTGATCTTCAGTTGTTTAGTCCTTCTGTTTTAGTCTCTAGTACAGTAGAGAGGATTTGAGGAAGTATAGGGAGAAGAAAACCCACTGTTTTGGGGTTCAGTTGTGAGGGAAACCCACAGATAGTGTAAAAATCTAAACACATTTAATAACATACATTGTAGTCTTTATTTTGAGTAGAACCTCAAAAGCAACTTAGCAGGTAAAGTATCAGTCACTTGCTAAATGCTATTGATTTGATAAATGATTCAGAAGTGAAGGAACATCCTACTTTGAAAGTAAACTAGGTATGAAAATGAATTAAATCTTTTTTTTTTCTACTGGATAGATACCATCAATAATAGTGTCTTTAAAGCTTTGGCATGGCTTTTTTCTTGATTAAAGTAGTGTCATTCATTAAGAATATACTTCTTGCTTGGCCGGTGTGACCAGAGGTCACGGTTCGATTCTGGGTAAGGGCCCATGCCTGGGTTTCGGGCTCTATTCCTAGTGTGGAGTGTGCAGGAAGCAGCTGATCAATGATTCTCTCTCATCATTGATGTTTATCTCTTTCTCCTCTCCCTTCCTCTCTGAAATCAATAAAAAGTATATTAAAAAAAAGAAAATGTTTCTTGATCTATCAAGGATAAAAGGCAGTGAAAGAAAGCTCTTTTTTAAGTTGCTGAGAAGTTTGTGTGTGTAGGGGGCGGTAATTGAGGGATGGCAGGCAACATTTTGTAAGTAATAGAGGGAAAATACATTTAGACTTCTTAAACAGATGTTACAATAGATATAGTTGCATATTTGTAAGTAGCTAAAAGAAGCCATTTATGGTTTTTTTAAAATACCTTTATGAAGTTTGTATGATCTTTAGAGCTTTAACTGGCTACAGATGTTCTTTTATCTAGATAATCAGCTAGCTGATTATTCTTTTGAAATTTTAGGAAAATGTAGTACCCAAGAAAGGGAAATTTCTAAGCCAGTTACAGTGTGAATGTAAAATTCTAAACAGGATAAAGCGGTGAAATTTTTCATAAATTATTTTAAGTTTAAATGTATCCTTTTCAGTCGGTCATGTATGTAACTTGCTGTCTTGGGCATGCCCATCTTTCAGACAGTACTCTGTGCTGGTGGGCCACCACCCTGACAGACCACCTCCCTGAGAGGCTTGGGCAGGCCAAGATTTCCCCATATGACAGGTGACCCCTTTACCAGGAATAGGTTTTGTTCCCCTCCCCTTCTCTCCAAAGCTCTGATCCCTGATCATTATTCTGCACCAGTCTCATGGAAGGCAGCATTGGGGAGGAGCCAGTGGCAAGAGGCAGTGGGAGGAGAAAGCATAGCTCATCCTGCATTCTCCTCACTTTCCCAAACTGGGGTCTATTGGCCATGGTGAAGGCTTGGCAATGTGATCGGTGGTGGTGGCATGTGGCATTGGTATCAAGGGGAGATTTGAGTAAGAGAAGAGGAGAAGAAAAGACCCTCCTGCCACCTCTTCCACAACCCTTGCTCTAATTTTCAATCCTTTCGCTGTTATTTTACACACCTGTCTTTTCACTCTAAAACAGCCCTCCCCAATTCTTGACCTTCTTTTCAGCTTCATCCCCTTACTCTCTCGAGCCTCATAATCCTTATTCCTAGCCTTCGCTCACTCTCGTAACTACATATTGTTCTCTCCTGAGTATTCTGTCATCATCTACCTGGCCCATGTCTTACTGGGGCTTGCTCCCATTACAGCAAAGTGAAGTTTGAACCTGGGTTCATAACTCTTCTCTTTCACTTACTGTACTAGCTGGATGATATTGGCCCTAGTCATGGGGATGATAGTCACTGCTTGACAATCATCCATAAGAAATAAAAGATGTAAAGTACCTACAGAACCTGATTCTTAGTAGGCATTTAACTCATCCTACCAACTAACCCACTACCACCCAACTTATTTTGTAGATTCTCCAGTTGGGATTTGTCTGATGTTTTTCTTATGATTAGAGTGGGGTTATGTGGTTTTGTGGGGAAGACCACAGAGAGAAAGTGCCATTCTCATCACATCAACACATGACGCCTATAACATGCATACTATGAATGTGACTTATCACCATTGATGTTGCCCTTGATCACTTGCCTGAGATAGTGTGTGTCAGATTTCTCCACTCTAAAGTTACTCTTTTCCCCTCCCTTTCTGTATTGCACTCTGGAAGAAAGTCACTATTGCTCAGGCCACGCGTAACAAATGGGGGTGGGCCTAGGGCATTGGAAACTAAAGAGAAACTAAACAAATGGGACTACATCAAAATAAAAAGCTTCTGCACAGCAAAAGAAACCATCAACAAAACAACAGGAAAGCCCACTGCATGGGAAAACATATTCGCCAATGTTATCACTGATAAGGGTTTTATCTCCAACAT